ATCGGCCAAATGAAAGCTATAGGTTGGAGAATAAATCGTGAAGCTTACCTCTGAGATTATTATAAGGTATTGGCCAGTAAGGTTAAGACCGTGATAAGAAATGCAAAGAGGAATAATGAACTGAAGGTAGCAAGGAAGGCAAAGTTAAACCCCAAGGGATTCTTTAAAATGTATCAAACTAAAACAAGAGAAAAGATTGGACCAATACCGGCGAGCTAACTGATAACGAAAATTTAAACAAGATTCCCGAGACACCAACTATTTACAGAGATAGTGAAGAAAATAGATTAAGCGAGATAGCAGTGACTAGTAATGATGTTAGTAAGCAAACAGACAAGCTAAAGCCTAATAAGTCACCAGGTCCCGAGGAGATAGTTGCCAACAAAAATCTCCACTTTTGATTCAACCAATTAGCGTTCAAAATTCGGCGTGGGTGCTAGGATGCGGGACATTTTTAATTAATTGCAACATGGAGCCATATCGGGCTGGGTGCGATTTCAATTATTGGAAGGTTATTGTATTATTTCATTCCCAGATGAAGAAACTTTAGAGAACAGAGGAACCCACAACTTATTCTGGTCCCGGACTCAGAGTAAGGTAAGAAATACTCTAACAGGTACAGGGTATTTATATTCTCGTGGAGGCTGACCACGCGACTAGGGTTATTACATAGCATTTGGGGGTCCGGGGGTCGAGCCCCCGGCTAGGTTGTTAGGTAAAATTTAGTTTGGTTATATAGTATAAGTTTGCAAGCACAGAGTACCGGGAATTCGGAACACGTAATCAATATAACTATTGTGGGGGGGGGGCTAAATCACAAACGAGTGATTTCCGACAAAAACGAAGGTCAAATTTGAACTAATCACATCAAAGCCCATCAGAAAACCACCCTTTTCCCTTCAAATTCCATGGTTGCTGTAATATATACATTTATCATTAAGTTTTATTTAAAACGTACATAAATTTGTGACAGAAATGTAATAGAATAAATAATTTTTCTCTGCTCTTTATCCCTATATAAATAGAAGTATGAAGTTCCACATTCGACCTAAGACAAATCTTTACCCTTATCTGGGCCATTATTTTACACACACCGGTTTACGACCCAGAATCATATGAAAAAAAGTTTCATGCTTAAATCACTTGCCAGTGTTTGTGGAATTATTACCCAAATTTTGTTCAGTGACATTTAACTTATGGAATTGAACTCAAATTTCTCGAGATACTATTTGCCTGGAACTGAACATGAAAATGGAAGCAAGAATGGACAGAACTTATTACAACCCGAGGTAAAGGTGTAGACAATGGCTACCACCAGAAGGAGTTGGTTGAATTTCAAATGATTTTTGCTGTACTTATTGTTTTGATGTTTTTAAGTATATTAAAAGAAACAACTTTATATTGGGATTTTAGCCATTTTGGGGGGAATTTTTTAAGTACACTATCCAACTACCAAATTCCTTGTTAGTGGGCAGGGCATTATAGATGAGGGAAATTGTGGGGTAAAAACACCGCAAACACTGATATTATGGCATTAAAATTAAGTCTCTAGGTGCATTTGTGACGAAAAAATTCATTTTCATATGTTTAATGAGTCAGGCAGCAAAATTTCCCTGCCTCCGGTATTGTCCGTTGTTTATAAATTCTGTATCATTAATCCTGATCCTTTTAATAAAATAAATTCGCATCTTTATTAAATTTACATTAAGTTAATACCGGTCTATTGTTCTTTTTAGTTATTAAATGCATTCAGCCTTCTTTTCATATCTATATAGAACCAATAAATTATGTTAAGTGTGTCACATTTTTACTTCTACTTGATCTTTTTGACTGATTCCATTCTCTTTTAATTGTCTTGAATACCATTAACAGCCGTCACAATTCTCTTACATATTACGAACTACTTCTTTCAATGTAACACGCCAACCTAAGATTATGTCCACAGATGCCTGATGTATATAAACCTTAATATTAAGGTAAGTTGTTTAAGATTTCCATTTCTGTTTCTTATTCGAATATGATGAAAGATTAGTGGTAGGAATGAACGGTGTGTAAACACAATAATACCTTATATTAAAACATTTAAAATTTTTGCATAGAACATAAGAACATAAGAAAGTGGGATACTGCAGGAGGCCGACTGGCCCATACAGGGCAGATCCCTTTCACACCCATCCCAGCACTTCCATGTGCCTATCCAACTTCGTCTTGAAGCTCCCTAGCGTCCCCGATCCTACTATAGCACTCGGTAGTCTATTCCACATATCCACAACTCTATTACCAAACCAGTGCTTGCCTATATCCTTTCTGAATCGGAATTTATCTAATTTAAAGCCATTTGTTCTAGTTATTTCGTTATTAATGAGCTTCAGAACATCTTCCATTTTACCCTTGTTAATCCCACTTACCCACTTGTACACCTCTATCATATCTCCCCTAACTCTACGCCTCTCTAATGAATGTAAGCCTAAGCTTTTCAGTCTTTCTTCATATGGAAGGTTTCTAATATTATGGATCATTTTTGTCATTCTTCTTTGTACTCTCTCCAAAGAATCTATGTCCATTCTATAATAAGGACACCAGAACTGAACCGCATAATCCATGTGTGGCCTCACTAATGCTAGGTAAAGTTTCAAGATAACGTCAGCAGTTCTGTTACTCACAGACCTAGATATGAACCCAAGAATCCTGTTTGCCTTGTTGCGAACGCTAATACATTGTTTTCTAGGTTTCAAGTCGTTGCTAACAAATACACCTAGATCTTTTTCACAAACTGAGTTTTCTATTTCCGTGTTACCTAGTTTATACTTAACGTTTGTATTCGTCTTCCCTATCTGTAGTACCTTGCATTTATCAGTATTAAAATTCATTTGCCAGTCTACTGACCACTCATGTAAGGTATCTAGATCTCTTTGAAGGTGTTCAAAGTCACTGTCTGAATTTATCACTCTCCCATTTTGGTATCATCTGCAAATTTACTAATCCTACTAGTTATGCCTAAATCAAGATCAATGAATATAACAAACAGCAGAGGGCCTAATACAGATCCCTGGGGAACTCCGCTTTTGACCGCACCCCAGTCTGACTTTAATCCATTTATGCTGACTCTTTGTTTCCTACCAGTTAACCATGACCTAATCCATTTTAATACTGATCCACCTATTCCATGTGCTTCTACCTTCCTTATCAATCTCTCATGAGGGACTCTATCGAATGCTTTACTGAAATCTAAATAAATTATATCATATGACTTATCATTATCTACCGCTTCAAATACTTCTGAGAAAAAGCTAAGCAAATTTGTGAGACAAGAACGTCCCTGGGTGAACCCGTGCTGAGAAGAATGAATTAAGTTGAATGTTTCAAGGTGGCTTCTGATTTTTGTAGCAATAATTGACTCTAGCAACTTGCCTATGATTGACGTGAGACTAATGGGACGGTAATTTGATGCTATTGATTTATCACCCTTTTTGAAAATCGGAACTACATTTGCAAGTTTCCAAGCTTCTGGCACTAGGCCCGATTCTAATGACTTATTAAATAAAACTGCTAATGGATTACTCAACTCATCTCTACATTCTTTTAATATTCTAGCATATACCTCGTCTGGACCAGGCGATTTATGAGGCTTCAGTTTGTTAATTACTTTAAGCACATCATTACTAGTAATATTGATATTCATCAACATATTTTCTATACTGTCGTTATATACCTTATGAACTTCTGGAAACTGTGCTAGGTTTTCATTTGTGAATACTGAGCGAAAATGACTATTTAACGTACTACACATTTCTAACACATCATCAGTCATTTCTCCTGTCGTAGTTTTAAGGGGACCTATTGTATCTCTAACCTTTGATTTATACAGTTGACCGAACAAATCCTGGGTATGTTAGGTCATGTTCTATTAGGTTCTATGCATTGTCATTTCCATTTTCGTATTTCATATTATATTAGTATTTAATATGAAATTAGTATGTATTCCCTTTAATAATGCATAGAACCAAATAAAACCTGCCCTAACATACACAACCTTTGGGCATGTTAGATCAGGTTCTATGGATTGTCGATTCCATTTTTGTGTTTAATATCATGACATTAACGTAGTGTGTAGTAAAAAATGTCGACCAATTCGGACAATTCCATCTGGTGGTAGCCACTGTCTACACCTTTCCCCAACAGGAGCTAACCTACCTAACCTTACCTTACTTCCTAATCTGTGCATTGTCATTTAAATTTTCTTACTATCCAAATTACTTCTCTAGAAAAATTAATGAATGCAATTCAATATAAATCGCAAAAAACACCCGTTTCTTGGCATGTAAACAAAGACCTGCAATTCCAGAGTCCTTCTGGTGCTAATGGTCTCCACATTTACCATTTTTCTCTCAATAGTTATGTGTGGTCTTAATTTTCCTCAAACTACCAATCTCACTTTACAATATCATCAAGCAAAAAGTTGGAACACATTATTCTTGGGCTTCTAACCTTGAACTTTGATTTTCTATACGTCCCAGCCATGAATCGCCTACACGATCTTAAAGACGAATTAACAGTAAGTATTAGTGTGTAAGATAAACAGTAAAGCCACACAAACACTATCAAATGTTTACTGCCAGCTTGGCCTCGAGGAGCCACCTACTGCGTTTCTATTATCTTATCAAAACTTATACTGCCACCTTGCACCCTTTCGCCTTTCTAAATATAATGAAAACTTATCTAAGGTACTCTTAGCTTTCACAATAATTAAACATGTACAGTATTAACATGTACAGGAATAACATAAAACTATTCCCGTGAACATGGCCGCTACCACGTTAACCCAAACATGCTTGTGGCTCACACTCATGGTCTTAATTATCAGTATAAACACACTATTAACATACATTTCTATACACTTCACTATAACTATACGATAAAACCTTAACATTTAATGGTACAAGATACCGTTCTTCTCACCCAACAACACAACAACTCAACACAAAACTTAGAAAACTCACAGGCATGTTTAGTGTATTCCTCTATCGGCACGAAAAGAACGTGAAGAGCGTCTGGCGGGAGGAAATGAGACTCGGGATGCGCTCTTATGTTGCCATATAATCCACATGTACTCTCAGTTAGAATTTTTGTCCTAAAGAAATATTTTTCAGTCATTTAATACAAATATATACGACCTATATGTAAAATATAAATGAAAATTTACCAATAATTTTGCCAAGTTAAATGAACTACCGGTACGCATGTCAGCCTAAACAAAACTGCCTTTTTTTTTACATTATAATTCTTATATTACTCTTCTGTAATCATTCATAGATAATATACACGTGCATTATCTGAATTTAGATTATTGAAATTATCATAAATTCGTTATAATTATTATTTATATTATAACATTTGGCATTTTCATTAAACAAGACGTGTACGATCGTGTTGAGTTCGTGGATAATTTCACCACTTTGTGACACTTTATTTTGCCCCACGACAGGCCTTTGCCCGTATTACACCATATTGTTCAGTTACATAACGTGATTTAATGCAAATTGCATTAATAACTTCTTCGCCCCTGAAGAACACTATGACGCAGTTACATTAATGCATTTACATAACATTTACAAACTGGGAGGACTGCGTAATGTAACTTAAGTAAGGGGGGGCAAACAAATAGTGTTCCCTCCCCCCCCTCCGTACACAGTTATGCTTAATCAATTTTCATATTCTGTTATCGTAACAGCCTATAATCACTTCATATAAATAAGAAAATTAAATGGGATTCTTAAAAAATATCTGGGTCAACCTATCAAGCAGCGGTGAATATTGCTCACAAGTTTTATTTTTATATCAATGCTCCCCATGAATCCCATGATAAGCATAAACAGCTTTTCCAAGACTAGCCAAGTATACCCAAATGGCATGAAATAACTCAATTTATCCGAAAAGGTTATGTAAATCTATCTCGTAAGAACAGACAATTAATAAAGTTACGAGAAAACATTATCAGAGTTTGAGCAACTTAGCATATCCAGAACGTTGAGCAGTAACTCCAGGAACTTGTTCCAGTGCCTCAACCAATCAATACAGAGCAGTGCCTCAGCCTATCAATACAGAGAAGGAATGCTTATTGCTTGCTTGCTTGCTGCATGCTGGGATCTCGTCTCTCATCTAAGAAGTTTGAATGAGTCTTTCTAAATATAATGTGTGAGCATGTATGTAGATATGAATAGATAAAAACGTTGATTTATAAAAAAAACAAATTATAGAAGACATTAACTACCCAGACTTCAAGGAAAATAATCAATGAATACAATCAATCTTAGCGTTTGTAAATTACATGTTCTAGATGACCTCTACAACAATCTATGCATTGCCGTAATCTTCCCTTGAAGTTCAGCATAACTCACTTGATAAAACGCGATCAATTCCTGCAGTTCCTTGTGTGATGCGGTCTTTGAATTCCCAAATACATTCTGGATGAGGAGCATACACTTGAGATTTAAGGGAACCCCATAAGAAGAAGTCTGGGGCTGTTAAGTCAGGTGATCTTGCTAGCGAATGAATGTCTCCAAATCTCGGAATTAAGCGGCCTGGAAACATCGTCCTCAGTTTCTTTATGGTTTCCCTCGCTCGTGCTGTAGCGCCGTCTTGTTGGAACCATATAATCGAGTCGGACATCATCCTTAGAAGTTCCACAATGAGGGAAGTGTCCAGCATGATGCAGAAGCGAACAGAATTCACGGTAACAGCGTGGTTGTTTTCCTCGAAAAAATAAGGCGCAATAAAACCAAAGGGAGAAACACCACACAAAACAGAACTCTTGCTGTGAAGAGGCTTTTCGTGGAGCTTGTTAACGTAGCCGGAGATTAAAATGGGCCTTGTAGTGAACGTCTCCCCTACAACTGCCTTCAACTGCGTAGCCACAGCCACCAGCTGCTACGGTCTTCCCTAGCAACCAAGCGTATCCGCATTCCAATGCCGCCGTATCCTAGCAACCGAGCCAAAAGACCGGCGACTTCTCGGGTTTTCCCAACATGACTCATAGCTGCTGCTGGGTATATAAGCTCTGTCTCTCCATTGAGATTCATTCTGACCATTCTTCTTGAACAAGCAACACCTCCTCCTCCGCCGCTGCCTGGCTGCCTTAGCTCCTCCTCGCCTGCCTGGCGGTCCTCGCTCCCGCCAGCGAGCATGGCAACCCACCAGCTGTCCTTCTCTGAGCTTCCTCACCAACCAACTCTCATTCTGCCCATCTTCCTGAACAAGCAACACCTCCTCCTCCAACGCTGCCTGGCTGCCTTCGCTTCTCCTCGCCTGCCTGGCGGCCCTCGCTCCCGCCAGCGAGCATGGCGACCCACCAGCTGTCCTTCTCTGATCTTCCTCACCAACCAACTCTCATTCTGCCCATTTTCCTGAACAAGCAACACCTCCTCCAGCAAGCTCCAAGCTGTTAACATTTATTCAACCAGGAGGCCAGCAACAGGCAACATCTTCTCTAACGAAGCTCCTGCACATCTACCTCCTTCAACAAGCTACTCACCGAACGTCTCTACCAAGCAGCCCCTCACCACACGGCATCTCCAGCACCAGACTGTCTATCATATAACTTATATTACACAAGAAAACCACATTAGAGTTTCCTTCCATCCTGAGTGCTAGACAACATTAATATCTCGATACCCCTACAGCCTCGTCTGATATAATTAAAACATTCAAAATTCTTTCGTCATTACTCAAAACTTCCAAGAATTGAGTACAGAAATTTAATCGAGAAATTTTATCCTAGTCTGTAAGCTCTTGGGCTACTTGAATTTTATACAGGTGAAACTTTACAGCTTCATGTAAAATTCTTCGTAGGGTTCTGTTTACGTTGCCCAAAGCAGTAGCAGTCGCCTTGTTGAGCGCGTTGGACTCTGTTGCACTGCATTCATCACTCTTGCAATGTTCTCTGGTGCGTGAACTGAACGTGTAAGACCAACAAATCTATTCACGACACTACCGCGAACACAAAAATATGAACCCACTTTAAAATGGAATTTTGGGAAGGAATTCTGCCATGTCTTGGTACAGTCTCGTTCAAGAATCTTCGAACACTGCTGGAGATAGCTGGCAACTCAAGGCCGTTTGTTTGTAGTGGATTCCTCCCCTACAAGCACCAAACCTCGAATTCCCCAGCCTACGCCTCCAGCGCCGCCCACGGAGCGGGGCTCAACTATCTACCCACGCCTACTCCTGCCTTATAAGACCTGACACCGCTGTGACCAGCCTCTTTCTACCCAGTGCCACCAGCAAGCAACACCTCCTCCGCGCCGGCCTGGCGGCTCCCGCTCCCGCCAGCGACCTTGGCGTCTTATTTCCTTCAATTGCTCTGTCTAAATATTTCATTACATAGTTACTTCATAACCTCAGTTCTTTTGGTAGCATGGCGAGGGTTAGGGCACATGGGTACTGTAATTCTGGTATCAAGTCACTTGGGCGGAAAATAAAGGTAAATACTGCGGGAAAAGAATACCCCTAATATACTCAAAGAAATGGATTATTAATATGAAAGTAAATTAGGTAAAAGATGTCATTAACACAACTACAAGGTCCAAATCCTTGGCTTTACTCATCTGCAATTCCACTTAGATACTTTGGCTTCTACAACATTACTGGTGGTACATCACATTACATACAGCTACAAGGATCAACTCCTTGGCTTTACTTATCTGCCATTCCAAGTGGATACTCTTACTTCTCACACATTACTGGTGATACATTACATTACTGTACATACAGCTACAAGACAAACTTACATATGGTACTTCACTATAACTGTTGGTAGTACATATGGATGCACTCACAACCCATAACACATGAATACTGATATTAACAATTTCATGGGTTCACTACCCAACATGGGATAATTATTTCCAGTTAATTATCCCCAATCATATACAACAAACACTGTGGACCAAATAACTGTACGGGGTGTCCCAGGGTAGAACACTGGCGTCTCAACAAATGAAGACAGTTGTTGTGGTCGGTTGTAGTCTGACACGTGGCGAGAGTCTGGGATCTATTTCCCAAAATGCGGACTTGCAGTTCAATCCTGCCAAATCAGCGACATCGTCCACTACAGCTAACTGTTAGGTAGCCACTGACCCCAGGCGGCCGGTGGGGTGTTCAAATAGCCCACACACTGGATCTGAGAACAATTTGGAGGACGTCAAGGAAGGCTGATGATGACTCAATCACAAACAATCTCTCGTCTAGCAACGACAGACGACATTTACGTTATAGTAATTCTTACACTGGGTAAATGACAATTTCACTGTCACAACATGAACACTGATATTCGCTAAATTGACTTAGTTAAACTGAATGACTATATCGGCGGGGAACACACATACCTGAGAACAATTTGGAGGACGTCAAGGAAGGCTGATCCTCTTGACTTGACTTAAATGCTAGTGACAGGGGGGGGAAGGAGGTTCAGGGGAAGGATAAAGAGAGGATTGAAGTGAATTTTAGAAGGAGAGAAAGGTGCCGTGGCTAAACACCGCTTGCGTTATTTTGGGTTTTAAGTTGGAGGCAGCAGCAACTCGCCTGGATGCGGCGAGGAGGTGGCAGGACCCAAAGTCAGGTCAAGAGTCAGGTGCGTGTTGGGTTGGGCAATAGTTTCTCAGTACTTGGTCAGCTTGATTGGGTTTAAATACGCCGTGAGTTGCCAGAGGTGGCTACTCACGCATTGACAAAAATCACATAAGAATCAACTGTTACACATTCAAAGATGACCCTCAGTTGACAGGGGTTTGGCGAATTTCTTAAGTTGATTTACATAAACTAATTCGAGATTGAGCTTGCCAGTAAAAGTGGAATATATACGTTGACAACTGTGTTCCCCAAATGGGCGGGACTTATGGAGGAAATGGTTGGCACCTAAAAGAGGGAAAACGCGTTTCTTCCTGGGGATAACTCACCAGTTATCCACATGTTTTGTGGGCGTGAAGTATAATATGAATCATCAGTTTTCAAACAGATCAGCCGTCATTGTGACCAGGACACAGGCACCATTCTGGTGGCACTCCTTTGAACATTTTCAACCAACTGACAGTCCCTAGCATATCTCAGGGACCAGACGGGGTGATAGTATTCCAGATGGGGAAGAACTTCAC